GTCATCTGTGTGGCTGAAAAGACTATGGCGATACGCATAAAATTTGACTTGGCCATGGAGTTGGTTTTTCTGAGGCGACTGAGGAGGCAGGTTTGGCCCTCGACTCTTTGGGCGCGATCAAAGTTTGTCGGAATCAGAAAGAAAAGGAGCACGGGACATCACGTTGCTGATGCTGGGGCTCACGAAATCAAAACACATCATTTTCGACTTGCAAAACCAACGTCGGTGCGAAAATTCGACATTTTGATGTTCGACAAATGACCGAAGAACGCTGAGCCGAAATTCGGAATGCAAAACCTCAATATTGCGGAGCTTTCCGGAGCTCCGAGTTGTTGTTTGGAATCCAGCAAGAGAACAACATTACATTGGCGCTGCGAGCAAACGCCTGATCCTCGCCATGTCCCTACTGTCACTACCGCCTCCGAAGCCATTCCCGATCTACAGCAGAAAACCCGGCCGACGTCGTCGGTCGCAACCCGCAGCCTCATCCCGACTTACCAAACATCGGCGCACAGGAAGACACTGCGTACATACATGCCCTAGCTACAGCAGCTAAGCCGAATGCGTTGGCTCTGAAGGAGATTGCGGACGCCACCACCGCAATCAAACCACCGCAGACACCACACTGCAAGCCATCCTTTCCTCTCTGCAATCTGGCCGCTGGGATTCCAACCACACCACGGTCCGCCCGTACTTTGCCCTCCGCCGTGAACTGTCTGAGAGTGACGGTCTACTACTCCGCAACGACCGTCTCGTCATTCCCACGGCCCTCCAACGGCGTACCCTGCAGCTTGCACATGCGGGCCACCAAGATATTGTCCGCACCAAGCAACGGCTCAACAGCAAGGTTTGGTGGCCCAACATGGCTACTTAAGCCGAAGCACTCTGCCGGCAATGTATTCCGTGCCAAGCAACTCTCTCAACGACACCGCTACGTCCGGGAGTCCGTGCCCACACCACCGTCCACCAAACCAAGAGCTAGTCTCGGACAACGGTCCTCAGTTCCGTTCTTCGGCTTTTGCTGATTTCCTCGCGCAACACGCTATCCAGCACCGCCACACCCCTCCTTTGTGGCCACAAGCAAACGGAGCAGTCGAGCGCCTCAACCGTACCATTGGCAAAGTTCTGCGAACTGCCAAACTAGCTGGCGAAGACATCAATGTTGCATTAGACCAATCGCTCCTAGCGTACCGCACCACGCCACACCCTGCCACTCACGAGGCACCGGCAACACTCATGTTTGGTCGCCCCATCCGCGACAGCATACCCTGCATTACGCCAGCCGCACCAGACTTGCCTTCAGCTGCCCACCGTGACCAGCAATTCCGCCAATCCCAGTGCGACGCTGCCAATGCCACCCGCCGGTCAAACACCCCCATCCTCACTCCTGGTCAGCGCGTCTTACGCCGCAATGAGCAGGCACACAAGCTCTCACCACAGTGGGATCCCAACCCCTGGATCGTGGACCAGACCTCTGGGTCTACAGTGACGATCTACAACTCGGCAACTGGCCAAAGATCGACTCGCCATAATTATGTCGTTCGTCAAGCCCGTAATTGTTGTCACGCCGCCAGCCCATCACCCACTACCAGCTGAAAGTGCTGCCACCACACCTTACAAAATTACAACAAAATCACATGCAAGAAGTCCTTTCACTTTGACTACTGCTCGTTGCGTGACATCACTCCTCACCAAAGGACTTCCTGGGGATCACAATCCTAAACAGACAAATGTACGAATACCGCAACTGACTCCGGTGTTCTGCACGCCACGATCAATACGACTGCGTGCCAGACACAGCTGATCATCGTCGCTGTACTCTTCCCTGAGCACGTTACCCTGTCGCTGCATCCTGCGACGGACATTACATAGTTCCACCAACTTGGTGGCTTGATGTTCCCATTGACGTCGACCATGCGGTGTTGCCATTGACGACCTTCAACTTCAGGTCCTTGCCGTGGTCCGCACCATTCAAGAGATGGGCCACATTTGGTGTACTTTCACCCAGTTGGTCACTTATCTTAACCTTGCCGACTTTCCACTGCCGGACTGTTGCTTCAACAACTGGCGGAGAGCACATACGCATATCATCACTCTTCCTTGCAAACATCATTTCCGTCTCCACCACGACCTTGGCTGACACCCCCAAGGCACTGTCCACTGTGCCGCCGGGCTGGTGGAGCGACGGACCGATTCTCCAGTGACGGTCGTCGTCCACAAGGCTGTTGGAGTGCGCATCCAAGATGTGCTAGAGCTGTTCAGTGTCGTGCAATGTTATCGCATGAGCTGATTGTTTAGTAACTGGTGGTGTTAGTGGACAGTATAGCGTAACTTGTAGTTCCTTGGTCTTTTTCTTGTGTATAAACAAACCAGTAAGCTAACGATAAACTAGTTACACTGAGACAATTCGACTGGCACAAATTACAACAAAATCACATGCAAGAAGTCCTTTCACTTTTACTACTGCTCGTTGTGTGACAACCACCATCATCAGTGTGCGCATTGCGCCTGGTTTGGTGCATGCCTGGTGGAATCTGACATAGCGGCAGATGCATTGGGCACGTCGGGTAACACCTAACGCATTGAAAATGACTCAACTATGACTTGGTTCGATTGCAACAAACCTAATGATAGTGGTACCGAAACATTCGGGTAACCGGAGTAAGTGCCAATTGATATTTTTGCCTCCAGTCAGTCAAGTGATTCAATTGCAATAAAATTATATACTTAACACACCCATCTGCACGCACACTACACAGCATTGAGAGCATTGAGTTGTGGGGATAGGAGTGGTTTGTCAATCGCTGTTTGCCAGGCTCGCAGTGAGTATTATTTTTAGTGGCAGCAGGGTGAGTGACCCTGGCCGCATATTTATGTTGGCGTCCGACCCTGTCGCATCTTTTGAGAGCCGGGTGGGCTATGTGAGCCGCACTGGCAGGATGAGCCTGGTGAGCGAGATTGACTCCCCTCTTTATTCAGTTATTTAAACTGAAGAGATGTGATATTGAATGTTGGTTATTGTGATACAGCCGTCCCTCTCTAATCCGGCACTTTATAATCCAGCACCCTCGATAAACCAGCACAATTTTCAGTAGCCAAAATGTCCTCTTCATGCACATTGCAGCAGTAAATCAGATTTGTTAATCCAGCACCCTCCCTAATCCAGCAGATTTTCGTGGCACAAATGGTGCCGGATTATAGAGGGACCACTGTACCAAGAGGAAAGTGAAGATGTGCCTCAGCATGATGCAGCACAGCAGAAAAGAAGCAGAGGGCATGGGAGGGTGGGCTTTGAAGAGAGTCACCAGTCAGCCATGCAAATCTGAGCAGGAAGCCAACTGTGAAGTGTCCGGCGCGGCGCATGCGCCTTCTGTGTTAACTTATTTTTGCGAGCTCGCAAAAATTATATACGTACGGTGGAACTCACTTAGTACGTACCCGGGTAAGACATACACCTGCATAGCACGGTCCTCTTTTGTCGCACGGATCGTCCTCCCATAAGCGCATATTCAGATGTGTACGGATACCTTCTGTTCATGTGATTCATTGTCGCTGTGTTACTGTATGCAGATCTCACTCAGCTCTGCTCTCCGAGCATGCTGCTTCCAACACGACTTCCCGAAAGGTATGTATGGTGGCTAATAATGCGAGAGTCTTTACAGATTCCAGTGCTCTCATGCCTTTTGCGAGTTCCTTTTGTAAGTCAAATGGAACATGGTTTGTGGTCAATACTTCAGCAGTAGTGGTGCGAGAATATTCGGGTGTCAAATTGCTCGGAATTGATGTATGATAACGGAGAATATACCAACATGTGAATCACTTGGAGATATGGTTTGCCTGGTTCTGTTCACACTCACTAGGCTAGACCCTCTCGAATATTGTACCACAGTTTTGGCCCAGGAGTAGTAAAGGGCACGGGGCAAGCTATGTCGGGACCTGCTGTAAAGCCCGCCATACACGAGCTGTACGTCTTATCGGATGGGATATACCCCTGATATTGCTGATAATGAATGGCCCAGTTTCATTGTACTGCTGTCCGCGATATTATATCCTTAGTGGCATTGTTAACTTCTCATTGCTTGTGGGGACGCATGGATCATACGTCCATCCAACACCTGCCAATCGGAATCCACCGACAACGCTGTCGGTTGGGTTGGACCACAATCGGTTGGATTTTGAGTCCAAGATGCCGCCTAGGTAGCACACAGCATTGCTAATCTGATTTTAAATTCGCTGCGCAAATCCTAGCATACTGCCCGTAAATGCATCTAACTCCCAGGGTGCTTATGAGTTTTTAGGTCTATGTGGTACTTGTGTCGCATTGGCAGCCACTGTTCTGTTCTGTATTTTCTGGTGTATGTGTCGTTGAATCTCCACAGAAAATGTGCTCGCGCATTAGAAGGAGGTGAAAGATGCACCTGCAGGAGAATACATGCTGAAGAGAAGGCAGAAACATGCCCGGATCCACCAGAACTAGTGCTGGCAAGTCAACAGAGGCGAGTACTGATAATGTTCCAGATTGTGGTAGGATCACATAAGCAAAATTGACACTGGGAGGCACGGCGGTGGGTCAGCTCATGGCCAGCGCCAATTCCAGTGGATATCACGTGCATCCAGTTCTAGTACTATAGTATGACTGCTACAAAGTAGTGCGGCCCAAATAGAACTCGGGTCGGGTGCCGAAGAACTGGGGGGGGGGGGGGGGGGGGCATGTGTCGATGAATGGTAATAACTCCGGAAATCATGCTGGTGTATCGAGGGCGTTGGCCAATGAAGTGCTGGATTGATGGTGGACGACTGTACTGCAATCTTGACTGGTCCCACTATCGCAGAGACAGCACTTCCTGGTGCAACCACCCTATCCTGCAATCTATATAATAATTATTATAAGAGATTAGTGTGAACGATTTTAGCATGATGCAAGTCAGCTTATTGTGCTGGGGGCCTGGCTACATGTCACTATAGCTTTTTATGGACTCAATCACCGCATTACGCTGCCTTGCGTTGACTTGATTGAGCACTCCTTTTGGTTAGTGTCAAAGGTATATGTAATATGTATCTGCCTTCGTGCAAAGCTCTCTTTGTACGTGTCTTGCAGATAGCTCGCTGACTTTGATGCTTTGAGCCATTTTCGCTGACTTTGATGCTTTGAGCCATTTTCAAATTGCTTTTTTTGTTCATTTCATATAGACCGTATTGCCATTTGTTTAACCTCCCGCTCTGAGCTCCACTGATGAGACCTAAAAAGGTTGAAACAGCTGTCCGGAGATTGAGCGTCAGTATTATGGATTTAGAATACACGACCTGGGGACAGCACTAGTACTGTCTAGCTGTTTCGTCCTTTGTGGACTCATCAGCGAATCACGGAGAAATAACTCTCAACTAAGGATGAACCTAGCAGCCATGAAAATAGATAAATAATGCCTCCAAGCCAGAATTCAAGGCTACATGTGTAGGCCCGAATGTGCCTTGCCCGAGTGCTGAAACTGATGTCATTGAGATAAGCATAGAACATCTGGCAAAGGAACTACTAAAGCCCCCACGAGCACGATATTCTACTTCAACAAGGAAGAATTTTGAAAGCATGCACAGCCCTACATGTATAATGTTGGTATAGGTAAGCCTTGTTTGATAAATTAACATGTTGATCGGTTGACAGCATGTTACAAGGCAGGGGACGCACCGTGTAAGAAAACAGTGCTCCTGATACACTAGTGTGTCCTCGGCTTTGTCACATGCTGTCAACCGATCAACACATACAACGTTGCATGCAAAACGGCTGCAGCCTCGAAGTACGGAGTGCTATTTTGGAAAATGCTAGATAAACAGCCTGTACATATACAGGTGTTCTATCAACTAGTGCCATTATGACAACGGTAGCTGAATGATACATGTACATAAACCCGGGGTCATCATTGCAAGAACCTGCCCGAAGTAATATTCAACTACATGACTGTATACACCATCATGTATACGCCATCTTCGTAGTAACCGAGTCTACCCCTCACCCACTTCACTACTGCCACTGTGACCACAAGTGCGCACAAACAGAGGACCTTAGAGGACCTACTTCTAACTACAGTGCTGGCCAAAGAAATCCAACCTTATGAATAAAATTGCGCCGGGCAATACGCAGCCCTAGTAGTATACATGTACATACTGGACCGGTCTGTGCTCTCGAACGCGGCACTACTTTATTAACGAGGTTGGATTTCTCTGGCCAGCACTGTACAAAATACACACATGCACACACACACAACACTGCTAGGCTTTCCACCACACTAGGTTTTGAAACCGAAGAGTGGCAAAATTCAGGGCCAGACTAGAAAATCTGGGGAGACCTGATGGTTTTTCTTAAGCAAAACACAGGCAACACTCTGCAGCCTCACAGCCTCAGGCAGGTTCACGAGTGCACAAAATTAAAAATAATTGTTGATGCACCACGAATACAGTCGGGCGTCACAGACCGTGACCCAGGAATGTACGTGTATACCTCTAGGAACACCACAGCCAATAACGTTTTAAAAAGAAACGCAGTGTCAATAGACTCGAGTCTCTGCTTTTCTGGAATACAGATTCTGCTACACACGTATTGCTCACTATCCAGTGGGATGTGCATCTAAGAAAGTGGTACAAGAAGTCAAGGAACTAAGCCTAAGGCCAGATTGCTGAAAGGTCTTGTATAACTGACGAGCCTGACCCCTTGGAAACAACAGTCGTGGATGCGTGGCTCTACTGTAATAAATGTACAGGTACACAAACAATTTGAATGCAGAAATAACAACAACAAACTGGGAGAGGTGTAGGAAAATATACTCGGACCCTAGTGAATTTGCTTGTGTATTAGCTTGAAAACTTTGGGTACACTTGTTGGGTACACTTGTTGAGAGACCTATCTGCATGCAGATAAAAATTAATATGGAGTGCCGTTGTCACCGACGACTTTTCCAGTAAAGTCGCGGCTAACATCTTCTCAGGTATTCCCAGGTCTTCGCTAAGGGGGAATGATATCATGTGCGTCTTCTATTGCTGATGTCGCTACGCTCGATGGTGGTGCTGATGTACTGATTGTGGTGGAAGATATTGAGATGCCGTATGTCTCAAACCTTTTCGCCAAGTCTCCGCGGCCATCGCGCAAGAGGGTCGGGAGCACCACAACTGCAACGCCACAGATCCAAGGATCGATTCTCGGACAAAACATTCTTCAGATTGCCAAAGGTCCCCAGTGCTTGGCAATACTGGCCTGTACAGCAGGAACACACCACACATACGCCCACACACCATGTACCATGTAAACGCCCGTTGCAGGAGAAGCACGCAAATCTGCAAATGAATTGAATGTGCTCCCACAGATTTTCTCGTATAGGAACAATAGCTGATCTGAATCTGAATATAACAGATCAAGACTAGTGCCAGATAACAGTCTAATCCGCACAAGGCAACTGGCGCAGCCATGTGAATCTCGAGCCAAATGGACAAACATGTCCCCAATTATCAGCAAACGGGTGTGCGTTACAGGATTGGCCTGGCAACTTCAAACAGGCACAATCCACTAACGTGGTGCCCCGTCAACTTCAACGGGAACACACCGATACAAACACAGCCCCACAACAGCAAAACGGGAACGCCGTTACAAATATGGTGCCCTGGCAACTTAACGGGAACGCACCAACGCACGCTGGCCTGGCACCTTCAAACAGGCACAACTGACAAAACACGGCATCCGGCAATAGCAAGTGGGTAGGTACACCGTTACAAGAACAGTCCATCGCACCAAAATGCTAGTGCCACAACATTATAGCAGCAGCACGCCAGACATGCATACATGGCACTCCCAAAAGCAGATACCTGGAGTCAAATTCATCCATCACACTGTTTGTTAGGGCTGAATTTTCCAGTGACAATAGCAAATCCCGCCTAAGGCACATGTGATGAGATCTGTACACCAACTATAGTCACAGAATCAATGCACATTAGCAGAGCATAAGAACTCACTTGCGCTCATACCCTGTCACGTAGAGATGCTACTCTACGTGTACTGGTCCGATGTCCATTGGTGTGGTATGCCGGCCACTTGCCAGATGTAGAGCTTTTAAGCCGTCCTTTGCCACCGTCTGCTTGCCGTATCACCATCTCACTTGCAACTCTGGACTCCAGGACTGTCGCTCCAACAATGGGCATGGAGCGAGAGCTAACCTGATAACAGTTGAGAGCGTGACAGAGTATCTTATTTAAATAAGGCCGAGTAAGGTGGATCCCTTTGGCAAAAGTGAACACAGGCTTAGTGCTACAGGCATGGGCTGTCATGTACCGGAATAGCCAATACCGGGCATGTTTCGTCGACAGTAGATGGAACTGCGACGGCTCCACCGTATATGGCCGCATCTTAGTGACCTTCAGGCACAACGTGACCAAGTCAGGTGCGAGACTTTTTTTTAACTGTGGTATCTAGTTACAGTGGTGGACAGTTACTCATAACTCGTATCCATATGTCCTTTTCCCTTCTACTAAAAGCTCTATCCGCGAATATGCCGAGGCGGCTTGCCGTCTCTCTCTCTATACCATGCAACACCGCTGTTGAGCGAGCAGCTTTTAGGCCAGCCCCATTGCACAACAGGTAATAGGCTACTAATAGCCTAACGCAGCTAGGTAAACACGAATCGATGAAAGAGGCAGACTTCTTAGAACAAAGAGACTAGTTGTGAAGGACACAACATTTTCAGCAGTCAGCATTAGGAGAAATTGCCACAAGGAAATTGTTCTGGCAAAACTCTTAATTATGCAGCAATACTAGGCTTACATGTTTGTGTCATGCGTTCTGAGACGGAGTCCTTGACTAGCTCGTCACTGGCCGCACTCAGAGCAGCAGTCGTCACTACACATGGGTTGGGAAGCAATGGACAAAATTAACACTTGCCATGCACACATGCACTGCTTACCAGCTAAGTTAATATGTCATACTGTACTGCAGCAAGCGAGGAACTGGCAATACCTGCACCAGGCCTATCTACTGTGACCCATGCCATTGTGAATGAGAAGAGGCAGCATTTGACAGTATGAGCGGTGTGATGAACGGGAATGCATAATACAAGCCAGTCGAGCATTGGTACATGTACTTACGGACGCAAGTTGGCTGCACACTGCTCCACTGACCGTTGATTTCACAAGCACGCCCAAAAGGACATAGGGAGATGTGCACACAAACGTGGTCGTGTTGCTGAACATCAAGCCGTTCACGGTCATTGAGCCCAGTGCCGGTGGTGACAGGGCCCGGCAGTCGGTTTGACCTGCACAAGCACAGAGTGCACAGAGCAGAGGCATTCAGTGCATGCATGTTTGGCCTAGGGGTGAAACGAGTGCCAAAATTGAGGACTTGAGTACTCTTTGAAAAAACGAGCGAGTATTTGAGCGAGTACGAGTATTTTACTGACAACATAAAACAATGTACTGTACACACTCTCGTAACACTGAACGTACTACACCTGATACACATGTAGTCTTGCATGCAGCCTAGTGCAGGAAATAGTCTGAACTACTGTCTTTTGTTGGTAAGTAGGGACAAGTAATAATTTCACGCTTGCATGGGTTATCAGTACTGGTCAGAGTAACAGAAGTGCTTGATGTACAAGCATACAGTACACGGTGCATAAGATACTTTGAGTATTTTGCGAAACGAGTACTCACTCCTTTCGAATTTTCGAGCGAGCGCTCGAGTATTCGATATACTCGTTTCACCCCTAAAACGTTTGCGTTTGTGTGCGTGGCACAGACGTTGGTTTTGAGTACATTGTAGTACACGCATTGTGTAAAGGAAATTGATGCGAAGACTGCCTCAACATGGCCATGCAAAGTAATAAAATGGATACAGCAGTGAATAGCGGTCAACAGTAGCTCTACATTTTGCTTGTAATAGAAGTCATGGTACTACTATCAGTGCTGCTGCTGGTGCTTACCTGGAGCTGGTGTGACCTTGCCTGGGCAGTACTGTGCATCAGAGCCATCAGCACAGTCGTACCAAACACCGTCGCAGCGCTGTGATGGCAGGATACAGCCACTGGAACGCAGGCAGGGCAGGTAGCCAGACTGGCACTGCAGTTGAATGGCTGGATACACGTACCCATACACACAACACACAAAGCAGTCAAGAGATGAAGAAAGTGTCTGCTCGGCACATCTTTCGTACAGTCAAGAGATATTAGTATATTTGGAGGAGGTGGTAGCCTAAAACAGGCTCGACAAAAGTTACCGGCTTATGCCAACAACTCAGTGTTCTGGTACCCGGTGAAACACCCTAACCATACACCTACAAGTATAACATAATTATATCCTAAGGACTCAGGCTGAGATGCCCGACTGGTCCTGGGTCCTGTGATTAGCACGATCATCATTTGTGATGATGAAAAGTGGCAGGTAACACCCAGACTATTACATGCTCTGTAAATAGGAAAGATCAACGCCACCAGAATCTGCCTTCCTACAAGCCTGAAGCTTCTCTACACAAGAGGGATATATTGGCTCTCTTGAAATCAACTTACGATTACAGGAGGCAGCTGCCCCACTCCAGGAACCGTCAATCTGGCAGATGCGCACAATGCTTCCCTGCAGGTTGTATCCGGAATTTCAGCCGAAGACGACGCTGCCTCCAGCAGAATAGTTTGTGCCCTGGGAGTAGCTGTTGGTCGGTTTAGCTAGCGGTGTGCACACACCGGCTGTACACGTCACAGGCACGTACACACACACAGGCACGTACACACACAGGTACACACAGGCACGTACACACACAGGCACACACACACAGGCACACACACACAGGCACACACACACACACACACACACACACACACAGGCACACACACAGGCACACACCATCAGGAAACCAATGCCAACAATTAACATCTGCCATTGTGTGTACTTTGCGAGCACAACGTAAGGAAATCCAAGAAGAAGTAAACCAGTGTCCTGGAGAAGCAGTGGCCTTGTAATGTCCTTACTCCACAATATGCATTCATTGTGATACATGCCGATTTGATCACATGCTTCAACTTACGTCCAGTCGTGCCGCATTGATATTCGTCTGTCTTGTCGGGACACTCAAAGAAAATGCCATTGCAGAACTTGGAAGAGGCCAGGCAGGTACCATCACGATAATATGGCTGGAAGCCACTCTTGCAAGTGAGACAGACCACTGTGCACACAAAAGTCAACAAAAAAATCAGTAACAACGCAAATGTAGAGTATCACATCTTTACCTATACTCAGCAGGCGAAGAAACAACACTTTTAAAAAAGAACATGCCAAATAAACATTTCTTGCATGTACGCACAAAAAAAGGTTAGGGTCAAGGTTAGGGTCAGCACAACAAATGCACACAGTGCGCGAGCAGCACTGACTACAGTCCATTTCAAAACTATAGACGCGTACCTAGGCAAAAACCGTTATGCCAGCATCTATACCACATAAAATCTGTGATCACTTTGTGCATAAATTTTTCCAAATTGGGCGTCTGTTATCCAATCCTTTAGAAACTATATGAGAGTAATTGTGGAGCGATCCTGAGCAATATTCCGAAAACTATTCTCAAAAAGTTCCAGCCAAATTTGAAATATTTCAAAAACCCTACGCGTCTATAGTTTTGAAATGCACTGTACATTGCAGTACAGTCACGTACATGGTCCCAGTGTAGATCACAGAAGTCACAGCAAAGAACATCAGTAGTAGTAGTAGTATTCTTTTATTTTCCATCGGAAGCCTCAACAGTGATGAACACAACTCTTTTAAGAGGGCCGATAACAGAGTAGAGGGGTGTGGGGTGAGAAAAATAATAATAAGAGATATTTAAACTAAACTAAACTGATACTTCGAACAATAAAGCAGCAGTAAGCAGTAAGCAGTAAACACAGGTATACAATACAAGCGATGCAGATTAATGAGGCCGTTTGCTGAAAAGAAGATCAAAATACTTCTGAAAAGACGCTGCGTCTTTAAGCATGGTCATCATGGATATGTCATGACCCGGATCAGACTCGTTGTGAAAGCGACCATGCATTGAGTTCAGCAGCCAAAAGCTGGGCTCCGAAATATCCTAGAGTTCTGTAAGAACCATGACTAGTCCTACGAAGGATTTGGCACTTTCGTTAGTTGAGCAATCATGGCTTACAACTCGTGGCTTAGAGTCGCAAGTGTTGTCGTACGTCGGCAACACCTTCAGTACAAGTCGTCAGCATTGTACTCACTACACTGTTGAGCTTGAGGGGACCCTGCTTAGTCCTGCAAGGGAGCTGATACCTTTGTTAGTCGAGCAAGCATGGCACCTCTTCTCGCGTCGTACGACGTAAAGGGTCCTGCAAGTGTTTCGCGCACTGCGGACTCCGTTATCCCTTTTTGGGAGAGGTCGCGGCTTGACCGTGCAGCGCCCTACGGGGTAATGAGAGGGAAGAGCCTACGGGGCAGAAGATGAAGGGTGACCCAATCAAGACACCGTACGAAGGCGGCGCGCTCTAGCTGCGGCAACATCCGACAGCGTACTCCAGGCTCCGTCGCACGATCGCCGTACGAATAACCTCGGACATCACTCATAGTTGTAACTCTTTCATGTAATGTGGGTGAGCGAGCTCCCCGAAGCTATACTAATATTTCCTACTAATTATTATATCACAATTATACTATAACCAAAATCACATAAAATCCGCCTTCTTCCAACTAATAAAGGCATCTTTGATCGCTCCCCTTCAACCTTCGACTACCTTGTGTGAGCCGGAAAACAGGTGTGAGCTAGCAACTTGGATGGCGACTATATTGGTCGTCTACCTGGGTAGCCACTAGACTGATCTAAGCCTAGTCACAAACCCGCCGAAGCGCGGCCATGACAGATAATGCAAGAATTAAAGAGATGTTTTTAAAAACGAATTTAAACTAGGAACGCAGTAAACACAGTTATACAATACAGGCGGTGCAGATCAATGAGAGTAACGTTACTTACATGTGCAGACGGGTGGTACACCATCCCACTTGCCACTCAGCTGGCAGGTGTGGGTGGCAGGTCCCTGGAGAAAGTATAGCTAGTAGCAGCCAAACGCAATCTGGCTGCCATAGCTGGTCATGCTGGCTCCCTGGATGTAGCCATTTGGTGGAGTCTGCTGGGTCAGACAGTCACACACACACACACGCACGCACGCACGCGCACACACACACACACACACACACAAGAAAGCAAGCAAGAAAGCAAATGAAATAGAACACAAATAATTGTCTTTCAAAGATATTCATCCAGCATCTAACAGCTGAGCAAAGGCCACTTACGAGTTCAGTAAGGGAGGAAGCATGTCTTTTGGTACCAAGATGGAAAGGAAATCATTGAAGACTGAGGGAGTTGCAATGAGCTCTCCAGAGACCGACAGCAGTTTTTATGCCATCAGCTGGTAAAGATTTGGTGGGGAAAAAGGTGTCATACGTAGCAGACCAACTGACACTTCACTGGTGCTGCATTAGCACCTTTCACAGCTGTAAATCACCTTGCAGCTGAGCACACAGCCCATGTCACACTCCATAGGCTGTAGCCTGGCAGGCTAAGGTGTGAATACCATCCATTGCATCCAGAACACCTAGCTACACTCATACACATGCAAGCCATGCAGTGGGGCTGCATGCCTGTCAACAGTGTGTGACACATGCATGCACATTCAGCCGCGATGCAGGAGTCACAGAACTATTTCACCCTCTACACGCTCGTCTTACCTGGTGCTGCAGTGCCGTGTGTGCTAGTGCGGTTGCTCTCGTCGGAGCCATCCGGGCAGTCATACCACACACCGTCGCAGACCTTGGTGGTCGAGATGCAACCACCACTGCCACCGCACTTGAACTCGTGGTACTTGCAGGGAATATCAGGGACTGAAGATAAAAGAGAAAGAAAATGAACACATCCGTCAAGGGACAATTGTTAATGATACGCTGCTACAAGAGCATGCTTCGTTTATCTTTGCACAGCAGTAGCAATTTAATATCATTCAAATAGATACCGTAAAGTCGCGGATAAAAGCCGGGCTTATAAGCACATAAGCCGGTTTCTGCATCAGGCTTCAATGCAAACCAGGCTTGTATGCAAACCAGGCTTATATGCACCACTGATATTTTTGCTAGGCTTGTATGCACATCGGCCGATCCGGGCTTGCATAGACATGATAGAAGCCAGGCTTCTACCTGCGACACGCGTAGATCTACCACTGACTACCGGTATGGCGGCAGTTTTACTATGCACTGTACATAGCGCATACACTCTTGACCTACCCGATCCGCGCTTGCATAGAAGCCAGGCTTCTACGCGCGACAGGCTTATATGCATTTGACCCGTTTGATTTTCAGGCTTCTATCCGTGATGTGCTTGTATGCAAACCCGGCTTTTATCCGCGACTTTACGGTATTCAACACAATACTTGGCCTGCCAGCCTGATAGCATGATAACATGATAACATGATAGGAGGTATTAGGAAGTATTAGGAACACATGACAATAGCATTGGCACCGCTTACTTGAGCATGTAGCAGGAACGCTGCTCCACGTTCCGGAGACGTCGCAGTAGCGCACGACGCTGCCCTGGAGTACGTAGGGTACATTGCAGGCGAAGAAGAGACCAGTGCCGGGCGTGACACCTGTTCCGGTCACCTTGCCGTTGAAAGGCGCTGTCAGTGCTGTGCAGTTCTTACCTACAGGGGCCAGGGTAGGGCAGGGCAGGGCAGGGCAGCAATGTGCTGTCTGAATTTTTTTATTGTTCAGACAGCACATTGCTAGTTTTAACATGTAATTGCCAGACTCAGCTTTAGCCAGCAAACAAGTTAAAGTTTTTGCCGTAAGAAGAATGCAATGGCCATAATTTTTTTTCGGCAAGACCAATGGTTGGATGCAGTTTGGTTGGTCCTTTCCTACGGACTAGTCGACGCTGATGGGAAAAGTGGCACCCCTGAGGCAGCTACGGATGCTAGAACTCTACAGCCAGACCAGCACCAATGATAAAACCAAAGGATACACCACACCAGGAAGCAAGTCAAATAAAGATGTGTGAACAATGACCACACACCACAGAAAAAGACACAGAACAAAAACTCAATTACGGACACCATAGACACTGCAAAATCCAAACAGAAGCAAAATACCAACTCCCTGAGGACACTGAGCATGAGGCAAACGAGCAAGCAATCTCTTGCCGATGTTCCACCTTGTAACAACAATTTGCCGGGCCGCGCTGGCCACCGGACTGTATGGTAGGGATATTACACCTGGACCTCAAGACCAACGGGCGAAGGACAGCAGGCCGGGCCCAGGTAAATACAATGAGGAACACTGTATACAACTACAGAAATAACTAGTGTTTAAGCCGAACACGGATTCTTTGAACGAATAATCTATCGACCAATTTCGCCCTCCATCGAACGAATATTCTATATTCTATCGTACGCATGATGGCATTTTTCAACACTTTTTCAGCACTTTTTAAGTAGTTAAAAAAATTGCTGATTATCGGGTTTTGTTATGTGGAGGTGCAAAACCGGATAACATGTACCGCCAAGAGTACATAACCCCCCCCCCCCCCCAGAGTGTGCAACGCCTGATCCAGCTCTGCATATCGCATAGGGTCTTGGTCGAGCGTAATTGGATCTTCACTGCATCCATGTTTCCCTCGTATGGAAAGAACAGAAGTATTACTAGATACCGATAGGCGATAGGCGATAGGTGATTACAACTTAGAGGAGAAGAGATTGAGAAGAAACACTGCGAGCAGATCTACGCAGTGCAAATATCAGTAGGGTCAGCACTGAGCATAGATCTTTTTTTTTCTTCTTTTTTTTTCGATTTCTGATAATTCCTACGACTATTCGATTATTCGTTCACCCCACGAATATTCTAAATTATTCGATTATTCGATTATTCGTTTCAACACTAGAAATAACCCAAACCCATGCCAATCTGACCAACATACCTTCCCTGCGCATCCATGCCAGGCCCGTCGCACCGACTTTGGAGGTGGGGCGGCCATGCAAGGGGGTCCGGGGGCCCTCCGCGGTAAAAATGTCAAAAATTGAAGCCAATTGCAAGCATTTCCGGGCATTTGGTGCCATTTCAGTGTAACTACAATGAAAGACTCTTTTATTCTGTAACAAACCACGGGGATCGGGGATGGGGATCGGGGACGGGATCGGGGATCGGGGACAAGGATTCTTCATTATTTGCCACGTTTGAGCTGAGCTGCGATCATCGCGCTTTGTTGCAGTGTGCTAAAAAAAACAAGAACAAAAAACCGCCAAAAAAGTGGGGCGGCCCGGCCTTGCATGCCTGGTGTACGGTGTGAAAGATGAAAGATGGAGCTCTTGTATACACGGGCCCGGAAAGCCTGCTTCGGCTGCTCGGCAGCAGCTTCGTAGTGGTGGTCAAGGGTCGAAGACCGACGGATACGGATCAACTCCCCAGTGATCACACCTTTACCCATACTACGGGGGTGGTCACTACCGGCAAGCAGATACAGGAAACGATTGGTGACCTTGAAATGAGGCTTCACCGCCATGTATCTCTTACTACGGGAAACTGTGGTGTCCAGGAAATCAATGTCATCATGTGCCAGTTCATGCGCAAACTCGAGGGCCGAACACTTATTAATCCTGTCTAAAGCACGCTGAACTTGACCTTCGCAACCATGCAATGAAACAAAAATGTCACTGATAAAGCGTCTATAAACCTGAACCTCTAACCCCTCCCCCTCTAAGATCGGCAAAATGTACCGATTCTCCAAATACAGCATAACAATGTCGGCATAGACCACTGCTGCAGGCGAACCCATAGCAGTCCCTTGGATCTGCGGACACAAATCGTTATCATACACGAACTCGTTAGTCTTCCGAATGACTGACATCAAGGAAGTCAATGCTGTTGTTAACCGTGTACGAAGGGCCGGGGCATCCACCTTGTATACCTGTGTGTGATATACCACGACAATGCCACGTGACCGAGCTCGTTGGGGATGTTGGTGTTAAGGCTGGTCACATCTATACTCAAAAATAAATGATCGTCCCGCACAGACAAACCTTCTACCAAGTTGATGAAATCCGTAGCTCAGGCCAGAACAGTAATTTCCTCACGTACATACAGGTTCAGTAGAAAGTCAATGAACTTAGCGGGATAGGAGCCAAGACTATTCAGACTAACAATAGGCCTAACCTTCAGGGCACAGGGCTTATGTGTTTTGATAAGTCTCCTGAAAACGGGCATGCGCCCCCGGTGCGACTAAGAACAGTGACATATAGTAGTGGTCATACGATGCTCAATGCGATGCCTAGTCATGGTGAGTGAACAATTGACTCGGGTCGCGCACACGAAGTCCCAACACAGCCTTGAGCCTGTTGGTTGCCATCCGCACTTTCTATGGTCTTTTGAAATCAAACCGCGACCATTACAATAATGCGATCTAAACCATAATGAGCATAAGCATGCTAACGCAAGTTAGCAGGCAGCCCAGCGAGCTGGCCCGACTGCACGCATGCGCGAGTCACATGGTCATGCGCCCTCCAAGATCCTGTACAATGTCTCTAGCATGTCATTGCTGTTTTCGACTTTCGAGCATGCAACTTGCGGAACATGCGTTCCCAAACAATTTCCTCCACAATTGTGCTCGCCCCGGTGTATCTTGCTAAGCTCAATGTTAAAAGTGCATTCTGCCGAATTCCCGTCCGCCCGGAGGATTGGTCCTTGTTGATCCGCTGGCAGGATCAATACTTTTATGAGAGTGCCCTGCCCTTCAGACTGTATTACACTCCAGTCCAGCTATATGGAACTCTGTCGCATCCGCCAGTGAATGGATTATGTGCTAGCAGTCCGCACTCCCACGCCTGTTGCATTACGGGGAATACCTCAACTAACGTTACTTCCTCAGTGCATGCTCTGGACTTGTGTTAGCTTGCCAGCAATTCGCTATTCTGCTCCGAGCGTTTACATACTTCGATGTTTCTCTGGTCCCAGCAAAAGTGGAGGGTCCAGCTCAAGTCCTGACGTTATTGGCATCATCCCATTACGGGGAGTACCTCGACTAACGTTTCTGTCTCCATGCATGCTCTGAATGCTTGATGTTATGGCCTGGAGAGCACGATGAAAGTGGTGCTCTTCAAGCGCAGTATTTCTCAAGCTCAACTGATGAGAGATAAATTCCACGAAACACTGTGCATTGAACAGTGACTGGTGCTTTCTTGCACGTTTGCCGGTCGAAGGCTCAATGGGTATGGCGTGTGCCCTGGATGACAGTCGTCAAGCCGTCAACTGGCGTCGAGTGTCAAGCCGAGTCACTGACAATTCACTGACACTGACAGACTCAGTGGATAGCACGATATTCAGTCTAGGGAGCAACCAACAGTTTCCATGGTTACGTTCCTCGTATTGTTGGTTTGTCTTGTTTGATGACGTCAACAGAATACGTATCTAATATTGACTGAGTACGAGGTCAATATAGGAAATAAAAGCCGAGTAAAAGCCCGAGGCGAAGCCGAGGTCTTTTACGAGATTTTTATTTCCTATACTGACCAAGTACGAAGTCAATATTAGATTTATCACGACAAACAGTCCGTATTTCAAATTCCAGAACGACAACCTCATGAATCCCGGTTTTATGATTGCACAATTGTTGCACCACCACCTACTCATGCAGTGACAATGCTGCACTAGGCACAGTTCAACTGCGCAACCCCTAAGCAGTCAAATATAAGCAGTCAATATAGCCCTAAGGAATGAAATATGCAGGAATATTGGACTTCTTAGGTATCGAAAATCAATGGGAGTCAATACTAAGAGAGTGATAAAGGCATAATATTATCTGCCTACTCGCCACTCGTCAGTCAGTTTGTGGTCGGCCGCCCAGCTAGCCAGGCAGGCTAGCTGTCCATGATCCATGTCAGCTTCATTTTTATGCGCTACTAGTACTGCACTGGGTACTGGAGGATCGCTTTCCGAAATGTTTACGAACGGGGCGTTTTCGGCATGCGGCTGCGCCGTTTGTGGTACTGGTGCAGTGGTGGCCGATTGCGATCAAAAAGTTCACCACCTAGTGTTGAGGCGAGAGAGAGAGAGAGAGAGAGAGAGAGAGAGAGAGAGAGAGAGAGAGCTCTTCATGTCTGTACTTGTAGGTCCATGACATGTCATTGTATGTGTACTACTACTACTAGACTGCAAACAGGGAGGTGAGAACGGGAATGCATACGGTACCCAGTGCGGAACTGGACTACACTACAAGTCTGTACTGTAGTCTACAGACTACACACACACACACACACACACACACACACACACACACACACACACACACGCACACACACGCACACACACACACACACACTCAATGCAGTGTACGTCTAACGCCATAACAAGGTGCTGAACACTCGCAGACACAATCAAACACTCAGTTGCGAGAGCAAGACGATTGTGTGTTACACTATTATATTAGTGCAATGGCAAGGTTCAACTTTGAGACTCAGCTCCAAGAGAGACTTGGTGTCCCAGACTCCATTTGGCTTGGATTCGTCCAAGTTGACCTGAACAAACCCGAGATATGCCGTGGTTCGGATGCCACGGTTTATACAAGTGAGTTGGAGGGTCTCCCTGTTGCTGTGAAGGTCTTACATAGTATTCTACTCCAACAGGGCAATGTCGGGCGTACAGCTCTTTTGCAGCAATTCGGCACTGAGTGCCTAGTCATGCGCCGACTGCAACATGAAAGAATTGTGCGACTCCTCGGGATCGGCATTGCTCCCAATCAATCTCCGTGTATAGTGGTAGAACTGATGGCCGGCTCGCTATTTGATCGAATTGGAGTTGAGCCAAGAGAGCCATTCGCTCAAAGCCTTCAGTATTTAGTCGACGTGGCAGAAGGCTTGCGCATTCTACACGGCAAGAACATTTTGCACCGCGATTTGAAACCACGTAACATCTTGGTCACGGCAGGGCGAGCCAAGATAGCTGATGTTGGTTTGGCCCGCACTCTTCATGGTAGTCAAGGTGCGGACGTCACGGCTTTGACCCGGTGCCCCGGTACGCCTTATTTTATGCCGCCAGAGAGCCTACAAGTAGGAACAGCATACGACGAGAAACTGGTTGTGTTTTCTCTAGGAGTGGTGATGCTGTCGCTGCTTGTGGGACGACCACCATCCCCAACTGAAGCTACTGTTCTCCTGGAAAATGGAACGCGGAGATCAGTTCCGGAGGGTCGCCGACGCAAGGCAGACCTGGATCGACTGGGCTCGGATCACCCACTACATTCTCTAATCTTGTCGTGTCTGCATGACAATCCTGGGTCTAGACCCACATCGGCTGATGTTCACATGCACTTACTGCAGACCTCACCTCACTCTATGGTATGGATGTACTCACATAGTATTACATGACTTTGTACTCACTGTGCTGTACTGTTACCATACAGCCTAGCTGGGTATACCGTAAAGTCGCGGATAAAAGCCGGGTTTGCATACAAGCACATCGCGGATAGAAGCCTGAAAATCAAACGGGTCAAATGCATATAAGCCTGTCGCGCGTAGAAGCCTGGCTTCTATGCAAGCGCGAATCGGGTAGGTCAAGAGTGCATGCGCTATGTACGGTGCATAGTAAAACTGCCGTCATACCGGTAGTCAGTGGTAGATCTACGCATGTCGCGCGTAGAAGCCTGGCTTCTATGTGCATACAAGCCTGGCAAAAATATCAGTGATGCATATAAGCATGGTTTGCATACAAGCCTGGCTTGCATTAAAGCCTGATGCAGAAAGCGGCTTATGTGCTTATAAGCCCGGCTTTTATCCGCGACTTTACGGTACATGAACTTTAGCCTGCCTGCGCGTGAAATCCAAAAAAATCCTCGTGTTCTGGCCTGTGCAACGAATTAAAATTCCCCCGAATAAAACAATTAAGTGCGGGAAACAATGCAAGCCGTGACCGCGGCTTGCATTTTTTGTATCAAGCAGCGAAGCGAAAGCTGGTGATGAGCCGCGGCCTCGCTGGACCAGCTCGTAATGATGACGGTTCATGCCGTGGATGATGTGCGGCGGAGCGGCAGTGGAACTCAGCCCTTAGGCAAAGGAAATTTTTCATTAATTTGTTTATGCTGCATAGATGGAGAGCTGCACACCCTGGCTTATGGACTCTCGCCTACAGTGTAGACGTACTGCTAGTGTTATGCATTACAGAAGACACGAAAAACGAGAACATAATTATGGCGAGAAAGTAATTACTGGCTAAGAATTGCCCTAAGACTTACCGATTCTCAGTGCTCCATACCAGGAAGTAGTACAATACCTACTCCCTGCTCCATACGAGTGTTTTCGCCTCATTCTCTGCATCCTTTACCCCAGGAGTCTCGTCCATTTAGCGGCTCAAATGCTTGAGCTCCGGATAGCGGAAAATAGCTCGTCGTCCATTAGCGGCTCTAATAGTACCTGGTCTGAAGTGTCGCAGTCTAGCAACTATGATTTTTTCCAGGAGGGTACGGGTTGCAAACCCAAAGAGACCCTAAGCTTCGTCTATCAAACAAAACAATTGCCCTAAAAAAATAGAAGAGGAAAAGAGTGAGCGAGCTGGTCTGAGCGCGCTACTTTTCAAAAAACAGAAGCTGAAAGCCATCAAAGTCAAAGCATTCTGGCTTGCGCATTTGTGCAGGTCACGAGCGCTAGCGCGCTAGTCGCAGCAAACGCTCGCAGGCCAGAGTTGGCGCTACTTGTGCTGTTTGCCGCACGCGGCAGCTGGATGGATCACGTGATCCAAGCTGACAAATAAGGTCCGATGGTTCAGCTACATTGAGCCACAAGCATACTAGACTGTAGTACTACTAGTACTACTACTCGTAGCCGTGGTCTACCAAGTACTGAAGTAGGTCTACCATGGTCTACTGCCTGCTACTGTGCTACTGCTAAGTGCTACTGTGCTACTGCTAAGTGCTAGTGCTGGCAAAACAACTGCATTTCAGGTCAGTGAAACCATAGTAACCACGCAAGCGGAGCACGGAATTTCGGAAATACTCGGAAGTGATCTGATCTGATCTGAGTGCGTACAGGTCAAGTAAGTTCCGGACCCAGTGTAAGAGTTACACCCAGTTCCAACCGGTTTCATCCAGTTCCAACCACTTTCATCAGGTTCTAACCAGTTTCACCCAGTTCCAACTACATAGCCCATAGGTAACCATGCAGCGACGACCGGTCCTTGCACGTTTGCACTGGTTTCAACGGGTTTTCGCGCCGGAACGAAAATAATGGCACAACACCGACTCAGCACGCATGCGCCTCATAATGGATGAGAACTGCATCTCCGTCTTTGCAGCTGTCCTAGGCTAGCGCCTGCATTTGCATCAAACAAACTACCATTTTTTTGTTTGTGAAAAAGGGAGAGCCTGCTTCCATGCGACAGCTAGCTGCCGCTTGAATGGACCGTACAATTATTTGATTAGTTTACCAATAACGACGCTGGGACTGTCGAAAGAAATCGTTCACGGAA